ATTGAAGATTGTTACAACAAATGGTATATGTAAATTTTCTTGTGTTTATTGAAATTGGTACTGAATTCTATTGATAATTTGAAATTTTTCTAAAGAAATACGGTAATTTATTTCAATATTAAAAACAAATAAATTACATCATAAATACTATGAACACATTAACAGATGTATTCTAGACAGCTGTTACCGGATTTTATTCTCATTTTCAATGATTGGTATAAATATTTGTATTTCTTTTTCTGATAGCTTAATATAGTTATTTGGATTATTTCCTAAAAGGTTAAACCTTTTTATTGTGCAGTTTGGTGGGAAACTCGTTTTAAGTATTACAAGAGAATTTAAAAGATGGCTAATTTTGCTCGAAATGTTAATTTCATACTCAACTGCATAAGAAGACGTGATTAGATTATTTATTTTGATTGTGAATTGATTGTTATTAAGGTGAAAATTCGATAAATCAAGTGGTTGACTATTGTAATAAACATCGACTTTCGAAGTATTTGAAAATATGAATTTTCTGATTTGCTATTAAACTGAAAGTTAACACATCAAATACGAGAATTATTTTGGTCTTTTTTGAAGAAATCAAATAATCTAAACTGTTGATGCTTGGAATAGCCATTGAAGTCCATTGCTAATGTGAATGAATTTTGTGTATTTAATATTAATATATTTGTTACTTCTACAATATCAATATAGATATTATATGTGGCATTTGGTATAATGTATACGTCCTATACTGACAAAGGATGATAAAAATGAGATCAGGTCAGAAATTATATTTTTGAAAGCTAATATCAACAGCGAAAGATGAGCATTTGTGCTGAATAAGCCATGATAAAATATCATGTATGAAGGCTTTAATAAAGGAATCAGCAACAATATTATTTTCAGATAATAAAGATCTATTAGCATGAATGAAATGATATGATTTCTTTGTAGCCGATATGAAATTAGAAAAAAGTCATTAATGTTAATAAAATATTACAAAAACTTGGTTTGAGGGTGTGGGTGTGGATGGGGTGTGTGGGTGTGGGTGGGTGTGGGTGTGGGGTGTGGGTGTGG